TGTCCAGTGCTCTGCAAGTCTTGTAGAAACCCAATATTTTTAAGGTACCTCCTGATACCTTTGAGATACAAGGGGTATGAACGGTAAAATTACCATTGGTTCACATGGAGAGGGTATTGTTAAGTTTGAGCTTGGGTGCAAAAGTTCTTCGTCAAGCATCCACTTACGGTAGTCACTCTTTAGAAACGTCTGGTATACGTGGAGAATTTCCACGTCTAAGCCTTAAGGCAATAGGACGGGTTTCTTGGGCTCGCAGACGCACATTCTTCACAACGCCCCAAAGCAAACCAGGAGAGACGCATGACGCCTGGTGGAGATATCGACTGGAATGGGTTGGTTTCTGACAGACGGAAACCTCAAATTCAAGCGAAAGTGTTCTCTTCACCAGCAGGTGCAGAAAAAGTATTAAGTGATTCACTTCCGTTTCATGGTAACACGCATTCGGTCATTGGCGTCTCTTCCATTCATGTGATTTACGAAGCATTTCAACCTTTACAATTCGCCCTCATTTCGTCGGAACAATAGAAAAATGGCATCAAAAAATCGGACATAGAATAGTGGACGGAATTCTGGCGGGCATTCATTGATAGATTTTACCTCCAGGTGATCCACTGAAATAACACTTACTGGATAACCCACCGGAACTCCGTAAGCTTTATGGTAAACACTATACGCGCATTTGGAACTGGTGTCATTTATCACCAGGCCGAAGACTGTCAAAAAATCCACAATGCTGCAATTTCTCAACACGTCGTGGGATGTTCACCACTCATATGCCGTGTTCTTCAAGAAGCAGGGGAGAATATTAGCAAGTGCGTTGGTGTTAAGATTGCTGAAAAGGACGTTGACAAATACCGAAGCCATGATTATCACATTCTTTCAGTCTGCATGGAAACTCCTTCTCTTTTACCCTGTGGGCCATCCAATTAACAGCGTGTTTCTGCAACAAATCCAGCTCTTAGGCAATCTGATATATTATTGTTTCCTTAGCCGGTATTATAACCCGGAACAGTTGCCAGGATCATAGAGCCTCACGAATTCATAAGGCCGAGAGGTGAGACAGAAATCAATAGTAAGCAGGATCTGCACGCATTCGTGAATGACAATCTTCTTGTTCTGTAAATTCCTTAGAGCTTGCAACTGCTCTTGGCGGGTTGTCTTGTGAAAGTTGGCATTATCTCGGAGTCTAGTGTATACATCACTATTCCTGAAGTGTTGCAACATTTTCGCTCCAGATTCCTCATCAGACATCACAACTGTCTTCGTTCATTTCTCAGCGCAGAGGACTATTACGCTGTTATTCCTTAACTTTATTTTTCAATTTTTTAATGCCGTATGACAGGAGATCAGATTAGAAAGAGATTTATGGATGTTATTACGCACA